GGCAAACAATTGCCACTGATGCAACAGCTCGTGTGCTGCTGTCCGAATTCGCTGGCAAACGATGGCAAACGATGCCGTTGATGCTACATCTCGTGTGCTGCTGTCCGAATTCGCTGGCAAACAATTGCCACTGATGCTACAGCTCGTGTGCTCTGTCCGAATTCGCTGGCAAACAATGGCAAACGATGCCGTTGATGCTACAGTTCCTGTGCTGCTGTCCGAATTCGCTGGCAAACAATTGCCACTGATGCAACAGCTCGTGTGCTGCTGTCCGAATTCGCTGGCAAACGATGGCAAACGATGCCGTTGATGCTACATCTCGTGTGCTGCTCTCCGAATTCGCTGGCAAACAATCGCCACTGATGCAACAGCTCGTGAGTGGCTTTCCGAATTCGCTGGCAAACGATGGCAAACGATGCCGTTGATGCTACATCTCGTGTGCTGCTGTCCGAATTCGCTGGCAAACAATTGCCACTGATGCAACAGCTCGTGTGCTGCTGTCCGAATTCGCTGGCAAACAATGGCAAGCGATGCCGTTGATGCTACAGCTCGTGTGCTGCTGTCCGAATTCGCTGGCAAACAATGGCAAACGATGCCGTTGATGCTACAGCTCGTGTGCTGCTGTCCGAATTCGCTGGCAAATAATGGCAAACGATGCCGTTGATGCTACAGTTCCTGTGCTGCTGTCCGAATTCGCTGGCAAACAATTGCCACTGATGCAACAGCTCGTGTGTGGCTGTCCGAATTCGCTGGCAAACGATGGCAAACGATGCTTTTGATGCTACAGCTCGTGTGCTGCTGTCCGAATTCGCTGGCAAATAATGGCAAACGATGCCGTTGATGCTACAGTTCGTGTGCTGCTGTCCGAATTCGCTGGCAAACAATGGCAAACGATGCCGTTGATGCTACAGCTCGTGTGCTGCTGTCCGAATTCGCTGGCAAACAATTGCCACTGATGCAACAGCTCGTGTGTGGCTGTCCGAATTCGCTGGCAAACATTGGCAAACGATGCCGTTGATGCTACAGTTCGTGTGCTGCTGTCCGAATTCGCTGGCAAACAATGGCAAACGATGCCGTTGATGCTACAGTTCGTGTGCTGCTGTCCGAATTCGCTGGCAAACAATGGCAAACGATGCCGTTGATGCTACAGTTCGTATGCTGCTGTCCGAATTCGCTGGGAAACAATTGCCACTGATGCAACAGCTCGTGTGTGACTGTCCAAATTCGCTGGCAAACAATGGCAAACGATGCCGTTTATGCTACAGCTCGTGTGCTGCTGTCCGAATTCGCTGGCAAACAATGGCAAACGATGCCGTTGATGCTACAGCTCGTGTGCTCTGTCCGAATTCGCTGGCAAACAATGGCAAACGATGCCGTTGATGCTACAGTTCCTGTGCTGCTGTCCGAATTCGCTGGGAAACAATTGCCACTGATGCAACAGCTCGTGTGTGACTGTCCAAATTCGCTGGCAAACAATGGCAAACGATGCCGTTGGTGCTACAGTTCGTGTGCTGCTGTCCGAATTCGCTGGCAAACAATTGCCACTGATGCAACAGCTCGTGTGCTGCTGTCCGAATTCGCTGGCAAACGATGGCAAACGATGCCGTTGATGCTACAGCTCGTGTGCTCTGTCCGAATTCGCTGGGAAACAATTGCCACTGATGCAACAGCTCGTGTGTGACTGTCCAAATTCGCTGGCAAACAATGGCAAACGATGCCGTTGGTGGTACAGTTCGTGTGCTGCTGTCCGAATTCGCTGGCAAACAATTGCCACTGATGCAACAGCTCGTGTGCTGCTGTCCGAATTCGCTGGCAAACGATGGCAAACGATGCCGTTGATGCTACAGCTCGTGTGCTCTGTCCGAATTCGCTGGCAAACAATGGCAAACGATGCCGTTGATGCTACAGTTCCTGTGCTGCTGTCCGAATTCGCTGGCAAACAATTGCCACTGATGCAACAGCTCGTGTGTGGCTGTCCGAATTCGCTGGCAAACGATGGCAAACGATGCTTTTGATGCTACAGCTCGTGTGCTGCTGTCCGAATTCGCTGGCAAATAATGGCAAACGATGCCGTTGATGCTACAGTTCGTGTGCTGCTGTCCGAATTCGCTGGCAAACAATGGCAAACGAAGCCGTTGATGCTACAGCTCGTGTGCTGCTGTCCGAATTCGCTGGCAAACAATGGCAAACGATGCCGTTGGTGCTACAGTTCGTGTGCTGCTCTCCGAATTCGCTGGCAAACAATCGCCACTGATGCAACAGCTCGTGAGTGGCTTTCCGAATTCGCTGGCAAACGATGGCAAACGATGCCGTTGATGCTACATCTCGTGTGCTGCTGTCCGAATTCGCTGGCAAACAATTGCCACTGATGCAACAGCTCGTGTGCTGCTGTCCGAATTCGCTGGCAAACGATGGCAAACGATGCCGTTGATGCTACATCTCGTGTGCTGCTGTCCGAATTCGCTGGCAAACAATTGCCACTGATGCTACAGCTCGTGTGCTCTGTCCGAATTCGCTGGCAAACAATGGCAAACGATGCCGTTGATGCTACAGTTCCTGTGCTGCTGTCCGAATTCGCTGGCAAACAATTGCCACTGATGCAACAGCTCGTGTGCTGCTGTCCGAATTCGCTGGCAAACGATGGCAAACGATGCCGTTGATGCTACATCTCGTGTGCTGCTCTCCGAATTCGCTGGCAAACAATCGCCACTGATGCAACAGCTCGTGAGTGGCTTTCCGAATTCGCTGGCAAACGATGGCAAACGATGCCGTTGATGCTACATCTCGTGTGCTGCTGTCCGAATTCGCTGGCAAACAATTGCCACTGATGCTACAGCTCGTGTGCTCTGTCCGAATTCGCTGGCAAACAATGGCAAACGATGCCGTTGATGCTACAGTTCCTGTGCTGCTGTCCGAATTCGCTGGCAAACAATTGCCACTGATGCAACAGCTCGTGTGCTGCTGTCCGAATTCGCTGGCAAACAATGGCAAACGATGCCGTTGATGCTACAGCTCGTGTGCTGCTGTCCGAATTCGCTGGCAAACAATGGCAAACGATGCCGTTGATGCTACAGCTCGTGTGCTGCTGTCCGAATTCGCTGGCAAATAATGGCAAACGATGCCGTTGATGCTACAGTTCCTGTGCTGCTGTCCGAATTCGCTGGCAAACAATTGCCACTGATGCAACAGCTCGTGTGTGGCTGTCCGAATTCGCTGGCAAACGATGGCAAACGATGCTTTTGATGCTACAGCTCGTGTGCTGCTGGAGTCTCCCCAAGCGCAAGTGCACCCTAAATTTGGTGTCGTACCATTGCGTTTATTGCAAACAGGACTTTCGTTTGTTTTAGCACAATTTCGAAGATCCGCGCTGATTGGCTGTTCGCACGCCGCCGTTTTCACATCGCCATGTCACCGATATGTCGGCGGCGTGCCTTTGCATGCTAAAACAATGTCATGCTAACCTGCGGAAGCGATATTACCTTCGCTTTTTACTCAAGAAAGATATCCATCTTGACCCGGTTTCACAAGGGAAGGAAGGTTGGTCGAAGTGGCCTTTTGAAATGAGATGTACACTGCCTTGTAGAGCTTGGAACGCTGATTCCAAATCTACCTTTGCTATCTGCTGCGGGCTTCTGGACGAGAAGTTAAGGTAATTGTGAGTAAAAATCTGAATGCAAGAATAGGTTAAAATCAGTCGTAACTTTTTTTATTGGGTTTAATCGGTAGTCGGGTCACTCTCGGTGCAACAGATATTCTTGATTCAGACATACCAATTCACTGCTGCCTCATTTGAACATTGGGAAAAGGTTACGACTGATTTTACCCTATTTTTGCATTCAGATTTTTACTCACAAAAACCTTCATAACTCCTCGCCCAGAAGCCCGCAGCAGATAGCAAAGGTAGATTTGGAATCAGCGTTCCAAGCTCTACAAGGGAGTATAACCACATTTCAAAAGGCCACTTCGACCAATCTTCCTTCCCTTGTCAGCTACGCCGATCCCTGATTGGAAATTGCGACGATTTAGTCGTTCAGTTTAGCTGAGGCACAACTAAAAGCAGTTTCCCAGCTCGTTTCTTCTCCACTCCAGCTCAATCATTCGCTGCTGGATTATGCGCTTTCACAAACTTTTATTCTTTTGTTGCAGTATGTGTAATTCGTATGCCTTGCACAACTCTCCAGATGTCTTACCCCAACGCATGCACTACTGCTGGCAACAAGAAAGGAGATATGGAAAGTCTCGAAAATTCCTGGTGCTTAAAGCAACTCGTGTATCCTTTGCCTGTGAATCTCAAAGTTTTCACACTACGCTACATAAACACTTGAATTTTAGGCAAGTTTATTGTATTCTTATTTTGTGGAGGGATCCATTGGAAAAATGTTAGATCTTTCGGAGTATTAGAAACAGCTGAAGGATATGATGAAGCAATGGATAATGCTGAGGCAACTTTTAAATCCCAACACGCAAGATCTTCACGATTTGGTGCTTTGCAACCATTGCAAGCATAAATAAGATAGAATACATAGGATACAACGCGAATGAAGCGTACTTGAGTTGGAAAATATTATTCAGTATAGGAGAATATTATTCGGTATACTGCACATCCAGCTGAAAACACTGAGGTGTATGCGTAAGAGTCAGCGAGATAACAGTAATTTTGCCCCATGAAGAAACTTTAAAAACCTTTTTCAATTACCAGCTTCATCAATTCCTCTACTCCCCTCTCCCGCCCTCTCTTCCCCAAAATTAATCCAAGCGAAAATCCCATTCGCGATACAAAAATGTAGTGATGATTCTCTATCTTGCAGATTCACCGCGGTTGTGAGCACAATTTCAAGGCCTTGGAAGTAATCCTGTTCATGTCTGTTTCATTACCCGGAGGGGTAAAATCAGTAGACATTATTGCTTCATATAGCCACTGGAGCCGTGAAATGCACGGAGTACCGTAAGAGGAATGAATAACGAGCCACAGTAAATTGCTCGATTACAAAAAAATTTTATCACCTCACGACAATGGCTTCAATCCACAGACGTAGGAAAGCAATAAACGGGCCAAATGCCTCCATGATATAAGCGTAATCTCCTCCGGATTTGGTAATCAAGGTCCCTAACTCAGCGTACAAGTATGCACCAAGGCCGCACCAAACACCACAAACAATCCACATGATAAGTGAGGCTCCAACAGACCCAGCAGCTGAAAAGGTCAAAAAATGTCAACAATGTGAAAGATTGAGTTACCTTCTTGGATTCCTGTAGGACCCACAAAAATGCCCGCTCCTATGATGATTCCAACAATTATGTTGACACCATTAGTTAGAGTAAGGGTTCTTGCAAGCCCTTTTCCGGTATCCTAAGTAACACAATGAGCGTTGTCACGACAGTGACTGAAAGTATGAGTTAGCCATCCAATTATTAGTATAACAAATCCGCTTTCCTCTGTAAATACCAAAAAGGGACTCGTCGGCTTTTATGACACTGTAAGAAAGGTGTGGAAACAGTCGAGAGGTAAGATAACATTACTTTTTCACCAGTTTTCTTGCTTTCTAGAAAATTTTCAAAACAGGTATGATTGTTGCTTGAAAGGCTGTACAGAACTAAAGCTTCTGCAACTACTTATCGTTGGCGTACCGAGGAGCAGTTCTAATAGCTCTTTGGATAAATTATAAACATGCGCAAATAATTTGTTGATTTTAAATAACAGGATAACTTTTAAGAATTCAAAATTCAGATTAGCCTTGCAAAATATTTTTTCGGGGCGCCCCGCAAAAATTTTGGCGCATCCCAAAAACTTTTCGGAGTGCGTGGCTAACGCCACGCGCCTTCAATCAAAAAAAATTCCCTCATTCCCGCCGAAAACTCCGGGGATCGCCACTGCTACTTACATGGTGCAGATGCCAAACTCTCCTTTTTCTTCTTTGCGCTCACAAAGAAAGCATGTTTAGTGGAATGAGCCCTTGAGTTACCATACTCGGGAGGGGGGGGGGGGCACAAACACTGATTCCAACCTGCCTTCCTAGTCTGCGGGACGTTCATGGAGTTATGAGTATTTGTTTGAGTCAAAAATTGTAAGTGTAAGAGCAGCGAGAATAAAAAGAAATCGCACTATCAAAAGCAGAATCCTGAATATAAATTTTTGCGCATTCTCACATTGTCGATGCACCTTCCCACTCCGCGTTTTGATTTGGGGAGTTTCAGGGCCGCATGCACTAACCTCCCCGCAGGGAGGGGATCGCAGCTTAGAAGAAAGCTTTATATTTCGAAACTCCAGGTATCTGGATTTCACGTTGTGTACCTATCCGTAAGTATTCCTACTACCCTTTACTATGAACATGTTGAACAAGAGCGAGAAGCTGTACGAACCGCATTTTCCAGCTTTTGTATGATCCCTGATGATCCCCGGCGCTTTTCTTTAAAGTCATTTTTCTTACTCCAAAGTTAACGAAAATCTTCCAAAGTCGTACTGAACATCTGACACAACAGTGCTAAGCATGTTGCTGATGAGAACAAATGAGTTTTTAAAAAGTCGAATTTTCCGGCAAACCTCAAATTTCGACCCGTGGATCATCGAAAATTTCATGACTTCAAAACATCATTTGTTCTTATCAGCAACATGCTTAGCACTGTCGGTTTAGATAATCTGCACAACTTTGAAGGTTTTTCGTTAACATCGAAGAAAAATGATTTCAAAGAAAAGCGCCGGGGATCATCAGGGATCATACAAAAGCTGGAAAATGCGGTTCGTACAGCTTCTCGCTCCTGTTCAACATGTTCATAGTGAAGGGTAGTAGGAATACTTACGGATAGGTACACAACGTGAAATCCAGGTATCTGGAGTTTTGAAATATAAAGCTTTCTTTTAAGCTGCGATCCCCTCCCCGCGGGGAGGTTAGTGCATGCGGCCCTCAGAATACAACCATTAATTCCAATAAACCACGCTTTGCTGGGACGCGTCTTCGTAGACGTTTGGCGGCTCTTGCTATTGTGTTTTGGTCTTATAAGGTTCACTGCCTTGGTTATAAGGTGAAGTCTCGATAGTTGTTATGCTTACCCAGCGGTCAAGCATAATCTCCCACGGGGAACGGGCTTCGCATGCACTAATGCTGGGTAGACCTAGGAGGTCGAGATACCTCTTCAACATTAATTTCTAGATAATCTTCTAAAAATGTCCAAGCGATTCTCCACTAAGAGCAAGAGAAGTTCACTTGAGTTGTAAGCACAGCTCTTGTTGTATGTCAAAAGAAATGATCAAGGTTTTTTTTCGACAAGTACAGATCATTGGCGTAATCAACGGGTGCTCATTTCCTTCCTCTGTCTATCAGCAATAAAATATATATGTTACATTGCTAAAACGGTTTTCTATAAAACCGACTTCAAAAAAAATTGAAAGAGCGAAGAAAAGATTTTCCATTAATCGACCCTTGGTAAGAACATAGACATTTATACAGACCAGCACTATTTGCGAAGTGGGTTTTTATTTGCTTGCATGAACAATTTACGCCGCTTGTTGGCAGCAGCTCCGTGCTTTCAAGGGAACTGCTATTAAACGGTTAAGAGTGATTTCCGAAGAGATGTGAAGGGCACCAAGGTACAATGTCAAAAATCGTCTTCAAACTAACTTTTTCGTCACCTCCAATTCCGCCGTTCTCATTGCTCTCGTGACTTAATGGCTTCATCTCACTTTGTTCACCTCCGTCTTTACGCCCAAAAGACGGAAAACCCGCATTTTTTTCACTTCTACTCTCACTGTCGCTCTTGCTTTCCATCCGTTTGCCAGCGCCTTTTCTTATTTGGATGACCTGTAATTCTCATTTGGATAGTAATACTTCAATTCTTATCTACTCTTAGAGCTAACCTCTGAAGCTCTTTGAATGTATCCTTGTGCGAAAGCTGGTTGAAGAAGGCTGCAACCGACGAGCCAAAACTTGAGTATTCGCTGGCTTTTGTATCTGATGGAGAGAAAATGAGAATTACTTTGTGATGCAATGCTCATCCTTCCCCACTACAACTTTGCAGGTTAATCATATTGCTACAAGCAATCATTGATACAATTATATCAACCTCGAGGTTGATATAATTGTATCAATGTATCAATGTATCAGTGCGCATTAATCGGACGCTTACCGGGACCCGCTGCCATCGTTCCCGCGCCTATCGGGTCATCCGCCGGCATTGTCGGGTGGTTACCGGGTACTTATCGGCGCCCCCTCGGGCTGGGCGTGGCGTCGTCCGTGGGTAGCCGGCGGGTGCTCGCCATAAATGTCTGAGTACACTTATGCTTATCGTTGAAGGTCACTGCCAGTTGACTGCTCTCAAGCCGCAATTACACTAAATGAGAATGACTCGCACATAGAAATGATGGCAAGTTAGTCTAACGTGTTAATGGTACGCCGCTCACCCGCTTGAGGGGATGGGCCGCCGCTGGTCAAATCAAGGTCCGCCGCTCGCAAGCTCGGTAGCGAGGATCCGCCGCTCGTCCGCAAGAAAGCCACGCCCACAAATCAAAGCTCGCCGCTCGCCCGGAAAGCCGTTAAGGCCCGCCGCTCGTCCGAGTTATTGTCTGAGCAGTTTTCAGAATTAGTCTTTGAATTGGTTAAATCCTACTATCTTCCCATAAAGAGCTCAAGAAAGAATTTCCAATTGAACAGCTCTGCTTTGAACTAAAAAACGTGTGATATACTATTGAATAGAAACTTACAGAATCAGATCAAGAAGTTGTGAACCATTACGTTAGCAAAAGCAACATGTTTGCTGCGTCTTCCACTAATCGTAGATGTTAACCGAGTCTTAAGGGCCCAAAAATCGAAAACCGATGATAATGATGCTGATCCAGTCAAAGCTAGAACTTGAACTAAGAAAACCTTTTCAAGTTGTATTCTGTAGTAATATGAGTAGTATGCGATCATGTTGTGATTGCTAATCAGTCTTGAGACATGTTGGATGAAATGATTTATGGTGACAATGGAAACGGGGCTGTGGAAATTTTTCAACGCCATTT